CTACACATGCGAAAAGAATAATAATTTACGATATATTAAATATCATTAAGGATACAAATACATGTTATTACATAATACCCATTTTCATTCGGGGACTAATTTTGAATATATATATATATATATATATATATATATATATATTTTTATTATTAGTATTATTAATTAGGTTAAATTACACTATTTATCACTAAACTTTACTGTCCCTCCATTTCACTCATTGTATTTTTATTTTTTTTTAATTTACTCATTGAACTTTTAAATTGATCATGTTTTGATCACTCTGAATTATTTTATTATTATTATTATTCTATGACATGACATTTTTATCATTATTAAAATTTAAAAATAATTTAAAATAAATAATAAGATAGTATTTTATTATTATTAAATTTAAAAAGCTTTAAAATAATCTTCGCCCCTTCTCATCACCGTCGATCACACGTCGAACACAGTCGACCTTCAAAATTGACAGATGTTTGATCCCAAATTGTATTGAGAGACTCACTTTGGTACACTTAGCCCGAATCTAATGTTGTTTCAGCAAAAAATGTTCCAAAACCTATGAATCTCGACTTAAACATTTCAATTTTCTCACTTTTGATCTTCTATACAGGGACTTGGGAGCATGTTTCGAAAAAATGGAGTTCGGATTTGGATTCAGGGGCAGAGGCGAAGCAACCCATTAAATTTGGGATCGGACGATCACCATCTACGACGATCGATGTTTCGTTTTCCTCATTTTTTTATCAAATTCGGAGCATGTTCCGATAAAATGAAAGTCGAATTTAAACTCGATAGGTCGAGATGAAGCAGCTGATTAATTATGGGATTGAACGACCATCATCTACGGTCAGCTATGTTGACAACGACAACAACAGTAGACGGCCACCACCTAATTTTAATTTTATATTTTAATTTTTTTATATCAAGTAAAAAAATATCATATCTTACTAAAATAATAAAAAAATAATTTATTCTCATCAACATGTCTGAAAAAAGGATGTCCCACCAACGCCACTGCCACCGCCATCAACAGAAGCAGCTAACAAACCCACCTCTTCTTCTTTCCATCTTACTCGTATAGAATGAAAGGAAAACTTGCACTTTTATAATGACTAGTGTGTTTTTTAGATCTTTGGAACACTCACAGGTACCAGTAGTTTTCAAAGGTTTGAATGTGCCTGCTGGCTTTATGGCCAACATTTTAATAAAGAAGAAAAATGTTGAAAGTTGAAACACATGTGAGTTGACTGTCTCAAATCTCAGGTAATTGCGTTTGGATCTTTATCATTTCTATGCACCTAGCTGGAGTGAGGACCACAATCTGGTAACCCACACCTTCCTTAGGAGCTCCATTTGAGAAAAAGGAAATCAATAAGATGCAAATTAACCTGCAAGCTAAAACATAGGTGCTGGAAAGCTCTGATTTTGGCGTGCAACGATAAGAGGCAATGCCAATATATGAAGAAGTGAGAACAATAAATTAAACAAAAATCTGTTATTGCAAAAAGAAGAAAACACATATCATTCTTATATTTCAACAAAAAAACAAAGAGAATGTATGTCTTTCAAGGGAACAAAGGACGAGGAAGGGTGACAATGGTTCCATGATGGCTACCACGGTTAAACAAGCGTCGTCATGTCTTCAACTAGTTCATAACCTGCTTGTAAACACTGATTCTTGCTGCCTAAATACTAACAATGTACTCTCGGTGGAATCTGGCATTCTATGAATATTCATTCAAACTAGTAAAAATAAAAGTGTAGAGTTTCCCTTTTTATTCTCCGTAAGTAAGATGGAAAGAAGAAGAGGTGGGCTTGTTAGCTGCTTCTATTGATGGTGTTGGCAACATACTCGGCTGTGAGATGGCGGTGGTAGTGGTGCTGGTGGGACATCATTTTTACATAGATATTGATGATGTTGAAGAGTATTAAGAAGGAAAGGTTGAAAAAGGAAATAATGGTTATCATTACAAATAACAATTTTTTTTTGGGTGTTAACTGCAAATGATCCATTTATTATAAATCGATAACGTTAATGATCAATTTGTTATTTTTGAAAATTTAATAGAAAACAAATATTTTCTCAAACTTTAGTGACTATTTGTGTAGTTTACCTTTTTTTTCCTTATCTGTTTATTTATTTTTATTGTTTATTTTATATATCGTATTTTTATTTATTTTTTTATATATTGATAAATATTTATTTCCCCTAATTGAAACTGCGAGAAGCCTAAACCCTTTCCCCAAATATCACCACGAAACCCTTATGAGCATCAGGCGCCAACAGTTTCAAATTTGTTCAAGCGGTACAGCTAAATCTATGATTTCCATGAAAATTACTTCTCTGCTTGTATTGCTCACACCTAGTTTTTAAACCCTTCGTTTGTCGTTCTGTCAAAATCGTTTAATGCAACCGTGTACCCCTTTTCTACTCAGTAAACTATGGCCGTGTCTTGATCGGTGACCAAGCCACTCTAGCGGTGCGCATCTACTCGACAACTTCTATATTTTTAAGCTGATATCATATGACTCAGATATGGTTGGTGATGGAGTCGAACAAAATCAAGGAAAAATTGTGTTTGAGTGGAACTTTATTTCTTGCTATCATATTGATCCTCTTTTTTTTTTTCTTTTTCTTGTTAAGGGTTTTTATCAGCATCGTTGAGAATTTCAATTGCTGTTAAATTGAAGAATATTATCGTAGTGCTCTAAATTATGTTGATCCCTCAGTTACATTTTTGTGCTCTAAATTATGTTCATCCCTCGGTTACTATTTGACTTGTTGCAGGTTGAAGTTAAGGTAGAATAAGTGAAGAGGAGGATTTTGTGGCTTGCATTATCATTAGATACCTTTGAATTGAAGTGTTGATAGATGGCGTTGAGGTGTATGCTTGGCTGGTCAGATGGTGAATTGATGAGATCAGATGCAAAGCCTTGTTCCAGATTAATGAGACAGACGGCTGGGATTTTTACTGTTGGAGGAGCTTTAGGATTTTGGGTTCTTTGTAGATTGCATTATGGTTTGTTCCTCTCTTGAAGTAGCTTTTTAAAAGATCAAAACTATACGTGACTTACGGTCTGCTTATGATGTGCATGTTAGTTTCTTGTTGTTCCTTGTGTTCGTCTCTCGTATCTTATTTTAACAGTAATTCAGGCACTAGAAATACTGTTCCGAGAAGTCTTCGGTGGGCTGCCTTGTGGAGCTGTCTGTCAGCTCAACATCTGCTTTGTTGGTTCGGCTATTCAGCCCTGAATGTGAACCCCAAAATATAGCTGCTTATGACAAGTAAGGTGTCTAACGCTGGTCGAAATCCATTGATTTACCAGTACTCTAGCACTGTCTTTTGTTTCTTGTATGCTTATGGGATCTTTGTTATCTCCTTGTTTATCAATTTGGTAGTACATGATGGATCATAAGCACTCTAGTGGTTGCTTCTTGTATGCTTTCCTGCCATTTGCTGCAAGGGTAAACCATCTTTTGAGTTAAATTATCAATTTTAAAAGCTAAAAACGCTATTTTCTTAGCTTTTTGGTTTATCAAATCATAATTTTAATAGCAAAAGTTAAAATATTGAATCTGTTTAGTATTATTTTCAGTGTAAATTGCATATTTAGTCATTCTACTATTACTTTGGTTCTGTTTTGGCCACTCAATTATTATTTTTTAAAAATTTCATGCTTCATGTTATGTTTTGGCGACTTGCCACTAGAAAATGTTTAAAGTTACCGATGAGAATTTTTTGTACTTTTTAATGATGATGTTATGTTATCGGTGACACATTAGTATCACCATTTATTTTTATAATAGTTGAATAATCAAATGGAATTAAAGTGATAGTTGGATGACTAAATATGTAGTTTACCCTTATTTTTAATGTAGAAAACAATTTATGATTTCATAATTTGTGCCGACGGCAAAGATTTCACAATTTATACCAAATTCTTTGTTGATCACAAATTCAAATTCTAAAGTGGTCATACGTGCTTGAATTTGAAGCAAATCAGCATTGCTCAATAGTAACATTGACAATAAACTAAGGCCCAAGGTAATTGGATGGAATGAATGTGGTAAAAGCAATAATATTTTCATAAACAAGCTTGAAAAGTTGAACTGTACCCTTGTTTAAATAGAGAAAGGTAATCACATAATGTCATCAAATATACATAACATCCAAAGGCTTTGATTATGGGGAGATATCATAAAAGGGAACCTAACGACTATCAAGGTCGGCTTTGCATTACAGAATAAAAACTTGTAGCTAATCTGGTAAGGTTATGCTCCAGGAGGAGGCATGAAACAGGGTGTATGAACCTAACGACTACCCTGCGCAGTCTCCATTTGTTCATCATGTTGTTCATTCCTACCGGACTTTAGATCCTCGCGCTTGGGAACTTCACCTAACCTCTCCTGCAATTATGCAACGGATATTAGGAACCAATGTTATGCAAATAGGTTCGGACAAGGCAGACTACGGTTTGAACAAAGCAAGAACAAAATATGACCTTGAGAGATGTATTCTGTGCATGAAGCTGCTCACACTCGCTTTTGAGACGTCCTACTTCTGGCCTATGGTGGGCATTCTCTTCCATTAAGGCTTCAGAGCGTTGAGCCAGCTCATCACATTCCACCTGACTCAATAGTAAGCATTGAGATAAACAACTCATTTGTGAGCCTAATGGAGTATAATAGGATATACAATTTCTAAAGGGTACTTCAGTACCTGTTTACGCAACCTTGGCCGCCGAGCAGATTCTCTGTCTGATTGCTTCCTTCTCTGTCTTTAAAGCTCCCTCTCATCCTAAAAATCCATAAAACCAGACATTGTGCCACTTACATACAACTCCAAAAGGAAAAAATGGAAAAACATTTTCCAAGAAACATATAAGGGAAGGATGTGACAGTTCCTTGTAGGCCAAAAAACCTTGATCTGAAATCCAGTAAATTAGTTTAAAATTTTCGGATTTCATGGACAAAAGCATAACACTACAGCCAAAAGCAAAGAGATCTTCAATTTCACTATGTTTAGAGAGAGAACCTTCCCCTCAAAATCACTTTATTATGGAAAGATCAAACTCTTTCATTATGGAAATTGAGAGCCTTGTACCAAATCCCAAAATTTATGTATTAAACCCCACATTTAATCAATACTTATAAAACCCTCACGGTAACTGGTTGAAGGTCAAGGGAAATAGAAAGGAGAAATCGGCTTAAGTACGGTGAGTTCCAGAATTACTCCGTGAGCCTTTCTCCCCAAATTTCAATTAACAATCCCTAAAATCAAACCCTGATCTTTTCTATTTCGTATTTGGATAAAGAACAACACAAAGAAACGCGGCAAATTAGATTTTTGGTCTCGCAATTGTGCCCTAATTCAATTTAAAGCTCCCTAGCTTCCAATTTTTTGCTTCCATTCAGTGGATCAGGCTTGGGCTTCATTGCAATTTGGTTTGTTCTTTTAGTGGTGATACAAATTTTAAATTTGTTCTTTTTTTTTTCTTTTGTTAATCGATCTTTCGAATTAGTCAACAGCATTAGTTGCTTGCCTTCAGATTTATCAACCGTTCTTTTTAAAGTTATTTGTTTCTGTTTTTTCTGCTGGATACATGTTACCTCTTTCTCTTCAATGTTATGTGCTTGTTTACTGAGAAAACGCAGGAAAAAAAAGGAGATGATATTAGGGCATTGATCGTTTTGGTTGTCGTTAACCTTTTAATTGTTTGTAAATGCGAATGGGGGAAAATTGTGATTGCGGCTTAAGCAATCAGTATATATATCCTAAGGGTTTTTCTTTTTCTTTTCATTTTTGAATGCGAAGTTACGCTTTATTACATGTTAATATTCTTTGTAATCTTTTTGCTGAAAATAGTATAGGGTTAGATAAATTGCGTTCTTTTGGATGAGTATTACGATATAGTGACGGATAGGTGCATGCTTCCATATCGTGATTGAATTATGTATTCTATTTGTAAAATGGTTTGAGGGGCTTTCAAAAGCTTGTTGCTGGATATAGAGTAATGGGAAGCGGCGATATGGATAAAGCTGCGAAAGAAAAGGACCCTAAGGCACCGCCAGCTGCACATGTACTCTTTTATTGTTGTATGAAAATTTAGGGTTATGCTGTTCTGATTGTTCTTTTTCACAAGTTTGTTTGTTTAATGATTTTCTTGTTTCCCAGGAGGCGTCAACTGCTAACACGAGTACAGTAAATGCAGACTGGTCTAGGTTTCAGGTTTGTTAGATAAATGTCTGTAGTTTCAATGCTTTATATTCAAGTTTCTTATGTTATTCAAATCATTACATGTGGATTGTTGTTTGCTAACAGGCTTATTCTCCCATTCCTCCACATGGTTTCTTGGCATCAAGTCCCCAAGCTCCCCCATATATGTGGGGCGTTCAGGTATTTATGGTTTTGCAATGGTATCTTAGGATCGTGCATAGTTGGGATTGTTAATTTTTTTCTTTTACTTGTTAGAGCTTGAAGATTTGGTGGCATGATTAACTATCCAGATTTAATGATTTCATTTGTTGGTTAGTAAAGCTTTCATGTAAATCATTCTTTGTTGCAGCATATTATGCCTCCCTATGGTAACCCACCACATCCTTATGTTGCAATGTATCCTCATGGTGGAATATATGCACATCCATCCCTTCCTCTAGTATGTTCTTTTGACCTATTTTTAGGTTCCATTTCTTATTTACAATATCTCAAGACTTGGAGCCATTGTTTTGACATGGTCTAATCTTTGACAGGGATCTTATCCTTTTAGTCCTTTTGCTATGCCTTCTCCAAATGGTATTGATGAGGCTTCTGTAAGCAGTTTATCTTACTTTGTCTTATAATTTGGGTTTTTTTTTGGATAGATGTGTCTTTATCTTCATGCTTCCAAAGAATTGACTCCAGATATTTTTAGGGAAATACTCCTGGAAGCATGGAAATGGATGGTAAGCCTCCTGAAGTGAAGGAAAAGTTGCCTATCAAAAGATCAAAAGGGAGTTTAGGCTGTTTGAACATGATTACCGGAAAGAACAGTAATATTGGTAAAACATCAGGGGCTTCTGGTAATGGAATTTCTAAAAGGTATGGCAGAAAAGAAATGGTCTTGCAGTTATCGCATAGATTTTGGTTGTTAGTTTGTGTTATTACTTGGACCATTTCTCATGTCAATTGCTGGGGGAGGATGTGAGGGGGGGGGGTATTCTTGACCTTCATATGTAGTCTCATGGTGAAATTTTAATAGAATTGAGTAATAAAGAAAAGAGCCCATCAAACACAGCAGTCGCAATTGGGTTTCATCGAGAGGTCAATAAAATCCTTTATTGAAGAGGCTGAGGGAGTAAATCTCTTGTGCTTTTCTCTTTATTTCTGGTATACCAAGTGTTAGAAAGCTTTGAGATGTGCTTGTAGAAATCACTGTTATCATGCAAGGTTTGAATCAACTAGTTGTCTTATGGCCTGAAGTTTAAGATGATTTTAGCAGATAGATTTTTTTGTCCTTGATTTGAGCCTTTTAGTTGGTTCTCTGAAGTCAATATCTGGATTTTTTAATGCAATAATTCATCCGAGCATAACTTATATTCTTGTACTTGCTACCAAAATGATCACCCTAGGTAATTTAGCTGACTGAATAATTATCATGCATGTGTAGCAGTGGAAGTGAAGGTACAAGCGAAGATAGTGATGCAGACTCTCAGAATGTGAGTGCAAGGCCTCTTGCGTCTTCCTTTTATTTGCTTATTATTTTGAATCGGCCATCTCCTTTCTTTTTTCTTTTTATCATTTCAAACATGCTTTTCTTATGTTGTTCTATTAAGTTGATTGCCTGGGAAAGGGAATAATCTCAAAATAAGTTGTTTTGGATGGAATTTTTTCCAGGGTTCTCTCTCTCTCTCTCTCTCTCTCTCTCCCCCCCCCCTCTGGAAGTCGCAATAGTCTTGCAGCTTCTCAATCATGTCCTAGCGACTAAGAGTTATCCTGCCAACTGAGCTGATTATCTTTTATTTAATACATGGGAAACAAAGTTTAACGGGCCTTCTATATGCCATGGATACATATTGTGGAGTGGGGTTATTGAAGAAATGCTAAAGCTGTATCCATAATCATCTCTATTACAACTCCCCATGTGTTGCAGCTTCTGTTGGAACTCTTCCAATGAGAACTTTAAATATTTCATCTTTATTCAAATTCAGGCATTCACCTATATCACCTTGTTAGTTTTTTTCCAGATTAACATTATGCAATAAAATGTTGTTTTCTGCTTTTTTTAGCAATCGCAATTGAAGTCTGGAAGTGGAAAAGATTCTGAAGAAGGTTAGGTGGTGATAATGTAATAACATTTTTGCATTGTATTATTGCCATTTGTGTATTTGTGTTCTGAGAATGTCTTCAATGGTTCTTATATAGGTGAAGCATCTCAGAATGGAGGTCCTAATTCAGGCTATTCAATAGTGAATACAGCAACGGCCATTGTACCTATAGCAAATACTGGGGCAGCAACAACTGTTCCTGGTCCAACAACTAACTTACATATTGGGATGGACTATTGGGGGACGCCAGCTTCATCTAAAGTTCCTGGAATGCATACGCAGGTTTCTTCGACACCAGTTGCAGGCGAAATTTTAACCCCTTCATCGCGGGACAGTGTTCAGTCTCGGCTTTGGTTACAGGTTTCTCTCTGAACATAGTGAAATTGAAGATCTCCTTGCTTTTGGCTGTAGTGTTATGCTTGTCCATGAAATGTGAAATTTAAACTAATTTACTGGATTTCAGATAAAGGTTTTTGGCCTACAAGGAACTGTCACATCCTTCCCTTGCTTATGTGTTTCTAAGAAAATGTTTTTTCCCCTTTTTTTTTCTTTCGGAGATGTATGTAAGTGGCACAATGTCTGGTTTTATGGATTTTTAGGATGAGAGGGAGCTTAAAAGACACAGAAGGAAGCAATCAAACAGAGAGTCTGCTCGGCGGTCAAGGTTGCGTAAGCAGGTATTGAAGTACCCTTTAGGGTGCGTTTGGTTCACGGAATGTAAGATTACCAGTGGGAATAAAAGATTACCAGGGAATAGGATTACTGAGAATGTTGTATTTTGTGTTTGGTTGGTTTAACAGGAATGTAAGATTACCGTGTTTGGTTAAGGGAATAAAATATTATTGGAATGTATATTTGACCAAATTATCCTTATTATATATTTGTATAATATTACAAGTTGTAAATATTTATATATTTTCTTTAAAAAATTAAATTCATAATATTTATATAATTTTTTTACAAAATTAAAAATATAAAAATGGTTTAATAAAAGGGTAAAATTTTGTTTTAACCCCTGAACTTCATATAAAATTTTAATTATAGACTTTTTTTGTAAATCTAAAATAATTTAAGGATAAATTTATAATTTAATCTTCGTAGAATTTTTATTATTCAATGACAGAATAATAATATTTTTGAAAAAAAATAAAAATTTAAGGATATTTTAGTCCAAAACGTCGGTAATGTTACAATACCTAAGGGAAGGGAGGTAATGACATTCCCGGTAATATACCCCAAAAAATCTACTATTAGTAATAAAACATTACCGGGAATGACATTTCCGGCCAAACCAAACGGGGGAATGTAGATTTCATTCCTGATGAATCTTACATTCTCCCATCCAAACACCCCCTTAGAAATTGTATATCCTATTATATTCCATTAGGCTCGCAAAAGAGTTATTTATCTAAATGCTTACGATTGAATCAGGCGGGATGTGATGAGCTGGCTCAACGTGCTGAAGCCTTAAAGGAAGAGAATGCCCACCTTAGATCAGAAGTTGGGCGTCTCAAAAGCGAGTATGAGCAGCTTCATGCACAAAATACATCTGTCAAGGTCATATTTTGTTCTTGCTTTGTTCAAACCGTAGTCTGCCTGGTCCATACCTATTTGCATAACATTGGTTCCTAATATCCGTTGCATAATTGCAGGAGAGGCTAGGTGAAGTTCCCGAGCGCGAGGATGATCTAAAGTCCAGTAGGAATTACCAACATGATGAACAAACGGAGACTGTGCAGGGTAGTCATTAGGTTTCATACACCCTGTTTCTTGCCTTCTCCAGGGGCCTAACCTAACCAAATTAGCTACATAAAGTTTTTATTGTGTAATGCAAAGCTGACCTTGATAGTCGTTAGGTTCCCTTTTATCTCCCTATAATCCTTCACCAGTGATTTGGCTTGTCATTACAATCAAAGCCTTAGGATGTTATGTAGATATGATGACATTACGTGATTACCTATCTCTATTTTAACAAGGGTACAGTTCAACTTTTCAAGCATGTTTATGTTAAAATATGATTGCTAATACCACATTCATTCCCTCCAATTACCTTGGGACTTCCTTTAGTTTATGGTCAATATTACTATTGAGCAATGCTGATTTGTTTCAAATTCAAGCATGTATGACCACTTTAAATTTTGATTTTGTGATCAACAAAGAATTTGGTCTAAATTGTGAAATCTTTTCCGTCGGCACAAATTATGATATAATAAAAAATTGTTTTCTTACATTAAAAATAAAGGGAAACTACATATTTAGTCATCCAACTATCATTTTAATTCTGTTTTGATTATTTAACTATCATAAAAATAAACAGTGATACTAATGTGTCACCAATAACATAACGTCATCATTAAAAAAGTACAAAAAGTTATTTCATCAGTAACTTTGTTCAATTTCTAGTGGCAAGTGGTCAATACATAACTTGAAGTATGATTTTCAAAAATAATAATAATAACAATAATAATTGGATGACCGAAACGAAACCACATGATAGTTGAATGACTAAATACGTAATTTACCCTGAAAATAATACTAAATAGAGTCAATATTTTAACTTTCACTGTTAAAATTATGATTTGATAAACCAAAAAGCCAAGAAAATAGCGTTTTTAGCTTTTGAAATTGATAATTTAACTCAAAAGATGGTTTATCCTTGCAGCAAATGGCAGGAAAGCATACAAGAAGCAACCACTAGAGTGTTTATGATCCATCATGTACTACCAAATTGATAAACAAGGAGATAGCAAATATCCCACAATCATACAAGAAACAAAAGACAGTGCTAGAGTACTGGTAAATCAATGGATTTCGACTGCCGTTAGACACCTTACTTGTCATAAGCAGCTATATTTTGGGGTTCACATTCAGGGCTGAATAGCCGAACCAACAAAGCAGATGTTGAGCTGACAGACACAGCTCCACAGGCAGCCCACCGAAGACTTCTTGGAACAGTAATTCTAGGGCCTGCATGACCGTTAAAAATAAGATACAAGAGACGAGCACAAGAAACTAACATGGAATTTATGCACATCATAAGCAGACGGTAAGTCACGTATAGTTTTGATCTTTTAAAAAGCTACTTAAAGAGAGGAACAAACCATAATGCAATCTACAAAGAACCCAAAATCCTAGAGCTCCTCCAACAGTAAAAATCCCAGCCGTCTGTCTCATTAATCTGGAACAAGGCTTTGCATCTGATCTCATCAATTCACCCTCTGACCAGCCAAGCATACGCCTCAACGCCATCTATGAACACTTTTATTCAAAGGTATCTAATGCTAATTAATGTAAGCCACAAAATCCTGCTCTTCACTTATTCTTTCTTAACTTCAACCTGTAACATGTCAAAAAGTAAATGTGGGATGAACATAATTTAGAGCACTATGATGATATTCTTCAATTTAACAGCAACTGAAATTCTCAAAGGTGCTGATAAAAACCCTTAACAAGAAAAAAAGAGAGAGGATCAATCAAAATATTAAAGCGACCAAAAGTATACACATTATAACATGTTAAAGACACTTTGTAACATGAGATTTAAACAAAAGCCAGATTGAAAAACATGGAAAGAAGTACACTAGTGACAAGAAATCAACTTTGAAGTGAAAATGAGAACTTGAGTCTTGACAACCCCATCTATAACCCAAGGGAGGGGGAGAAAAGGAATTGATTGACTTTGAAAAAAAATAAAACTTTAGGTGTGAGCAATCAGTCAATTTGGTCAAGAATAACCAAAATGCTATGAAGCCGACTTTCTATTTTGCAAAAACTGAAACCGGCCGACTTGAGGAGGAAAACTAACTTCAACAGACTGTCTTCATTGCAGTCAGTTCGGCTCCAAGACCGATCAAATACAATTTTTCCTTAGCCTCAATTTTTTATGTTTTTACATGAAGTGTATAAAGAATATCTTAACATCCTGTTTTTGTCAAATAACCATTTAAATCACATTCTTTTTGAACCCTAAAACCCAAGTTTAGAATCATTCAAGTAGTGTAAAAACATGTTCAAATAGCAACAAAACAAGTATTCACATTGTTCCAAGAAAATCCTAACACTGAAAATGCTTTACAAAGTCAGCCATGTAAACTAAGACATACCAGTCTCGGAAGATATAGTGGAAAATCAAACAACCAACTAACATTTTGTTATAAGAATAAAATAATAATCGAAATGTTTTACATTTTCAAAAATTAAAATCCATATCTGAACAAAAAGGAAAAACATTCACAGTACCATATTCCGGGGGGGGGGGAAGCCAAACATGAAATCGAAGACTTAAAATCCACATATCTAAAGGAAAACCAAGCAAATAACTAAATATATGCAATGAACCTAAGCGAAAACTATAGACCTGGATCACAATGAAAAGGAAACGAAGGTTAAAACAAGTAAGCAAAAGAGCGAGACGGCGGCAAGACAGGCTTTTAACGGCTGGAAATGCGACTGAAACAGTTTAGACAGAGACAAGGTGGCCTCCGGCTGACTGAGAACCAATCCAATAACGCAAGTTGTGTTCCGACAAAACGGAGCCGGATATGGGCACGGAAAGATGAATCGAGAGGGTGGGTTGGTTGGTCGCTGGTCGGGGCTGCGTCCGGGTGTGAGAGCCAGGGCTTTTCTTTTCTTTTCTTTTCGTTTCGTTTCCAGAATTTAAGGATTAGATTTTAGAAATCTACTATTGCGAAAGTATAAGAATGGTATATCGATTATAATATGTTATTTTTTTAGTATATTGATTATTAAAAGTTATAAAATGATATTATATATCGTTTTATTAAGTCTCTTAACTATATAAAGTTACGAAATGCTCACCTAGCTATTTAAATTTTCTAAACTCGTCATTTTCCGTTAAAAAATTAACAATCGTTTAAACTAGACGTTAACATGTAGATTGAGATATAATATAATCATATTTTAATGATGTCTACTAATATTGTCGTTGCTTTCAAGTATTGGTTCAATGACATAATATTTCAAGTACTGGCTCGACAATATAGTATAAATGGAGAGTCGATCTATAAAATACAACTCAAATGGCTATAGGATCATATTTTATTATATATCGTTCAATATGTTAACGTTCAACTTAGATGGCCGCCAAATTTTTAACAGAAAAGGATGAGGCTGGAACATATGGATAGTCGGGTAATCATTTTGTAACTTTTAATAGTCTGGGACTCAACAAATCATCGTCCTATTGTCAGGAGATCATTTTATAACTTTTAATATTCAAATGACTCAACAAAGTAACACTCTATAGTCGGTAACCATTTGTGTACTTTACCCTTTACTATTTATGATTTTTTTATTTTTATTAATATTGAGTGATTACAATATAATATATATTAAAAAATTTAATCAATTAAAAATACATATTCTCCTTACAAATATATCTACTCGAACCTAAAATTTTTTTACCACTGAATTATTTAATATGTTATTATGTTTAAATGTTTTAAACATTTAATTTTATCAATGTTGAATTTTTCATTTGGGTTGGGTTTATTTATTTTCTGTAGTTTGGGTTTTATTATTTATATAAAATGTGGTTTAGGTTTTGGTTTACAGGAGGCGGCCTAAGTTTAGGTAAAGTACACATTATATGTGTAAACTAATTGAATAGGGATTATATTCTGGTGAGGGTTTTCTACGAATCAAATGACATTAATAATAAATAAAATGTTGTTGTTTTTTTGAAGTATCAGGTTTGAGCACTACAAATGTAAAGAGTGTGTGGGTTCAATGTGAAATGATTAAAAATTATTTTTAAACAGATATTACATTGTACATATCTGGATAAATATAAAAAAATTTAAAAAAAATTATGGTGGGGTTTTATTCTGATTGTTGAATTAAATTTTTTTCAATAAAATTAGTTAACAAGTAGTAATTAAGTAAACTTATATAAATATTCTAACTTATATATTCTATCCATTTGTATAATAAATTTAAGGTAAAATTGTACTTGAGATCCTTTTATTTTTCTAAAAAAAACTAATGTGCACTCGAATCATTTTTGTACTCAATATGACCGTAAATTTAGAAAAAAACTATGTGTGACCCTTTGACCAACGATTTACGTCGTTGACTGTTATAGTGTTGATGTGTCACTTTACGGTTATGATATGACAGTTTACTGTGTTGATGTGACGATCCATGGTGGCTGATGATGTGACAGATGAGTTAAATTGGTTTTTGGTCGAGTTCGATTGTCAAATTGATTTTTTTCGAAGTTCAAGGGCTTATTTGATTTTTTAGAAAAAAAAATTAAAAAAATTAATATATATATATATATATATATATATATATACCAAAAATTAAAATTAAATTAATAAAAAATTAAAAATATATATTATTATTTTTACCTCAAATTTAACATTATTTTATTTATATAAACCTAAACTCGTCCATCCTATACAAAATTTTGTTTTATAAAAACTGACGTTTTTTTACCTCTAATTTTTTTTTATAAAATTTAACTAAACAAATATTATAACACTAAAATTTAAAAGTTATAAAATTATAATTTATGTATAAATTATCAAGAAACTATATAATTAAAAAATTATACAATTAAAAAATACCATTTTTAGTGAATATAATATGATAAATAGAAGTAAATTTCACCTAAAATTGATCTTAAAGAAAGTTAATAGAAAAATCAACATGCCCAGTCAATTTATGTTAGATACAACTCTATAAAGTCAATGTGAATATGAACATCATATGTTTGAGATTTTTTTATCACTCATAATATTATTTTTTTAAGTAATAATAATTTTTTTCTACAAAATAAAAATTAATAAAAAATCACATCAGAATTTATTTTCTCTATACTTACATTATTAGTTATATTTAATTCATCATTCTCCTTAAAATTATCAATTATGACTTTCCGTTTAAATTAAAAAAAAATAATCACTTTTAATTATCACAACTCAAAAATTAGAATTAATAAAAATGAATAAAACCAGATTAATCAAAGTAGAATATAACACATATACTTTATCTTAGTTCAATCGACCCCGTATTAATAATAATAATAAATAAATCAATCCACCCGTATAAACCGAGTACTAAACCTAAATCACATTTCATATAAACACTACAATAAAATAAACCATAATGTAAAACGAGTGCTCTTTGCATAATTGAAAATAAAACAAAACAAAATAAACAATAATGAAAATTCAACGTTGATAATTTTTAAAAGGGAATTACATAATTGATCATTTTTTTATGTTTTGTCAACTTTTTCTCATCAATTTCAAAAATATAATATTTGGTTATTTTTATTTTTATTTAATTAAAATATGATCACTAAGATTAATTATGTCATTAGTTTGATAATGTGATGTTAACAAAAGAATTTAATTTTTATTTTAACTCTTGAACTTTAGATAAAATATGTATTAGGGACCTTTTCATAAATTCAAAGTAGTTTAGGGATAAATATTTAATTTACCCTTTTTTAATATGTTTTCCTGGTAAAAGTGTTTGAATAATACAATGGAAAAAAAAATTTCACATAGTGCAGTCGAACAATTATTTGTTTAAGTATGGTGATTGTTACAGTGACAATCATAGGTCTCCAGGAGTACATGGCGACCTTCATAGGTCTCCAAAAGCACACGACGACCTATGGAGTACTTGACGACCTATGAAACTGCAACAGCAAGGGAAGAGAGAAGAGTTGCTACAACATATGAGGCTTTATCGTAATAAACACTTGGCGACCTATGAGACCCCATTTCAAGAAATAATTTGGGTAGAGCTCTATATAGGAAGAGTTGCTACAACAGAGAAAGCTTTATCGTAAGAACACTTGACGACTTATGAAACACTTGACGACCTATGAGATCACTGTAGTAAACACTTCATTTTAAGAAATAATTTGAGTAGAGCTCTATATGGTCGAGGATGCCGTTTCCCCCTACTTGCACCGCACAATCAGACTTCTTGCTATTCTCTGTCTCTGCCGGTCACCTTTGTCCATCGGACACGGAGCAAGGTGTATGGCTCCGACCTAAATTTAGGATTACTTATTTGAGTCTGGGGTAAACAATCAAATTCGTGGTCACATTCGACTGAAACTGAGCTAGAAAAGACGACTCAAAGGCCAAAGCCGAAATCAAAGACATTATTAAAAGGAGTATTGCAGGAAGCATTGAGGAGAAAAGAGAAGCAAGCTTTAGGAGGCAACAAAGGGTGAGACTGCGAAGGGTTAATCGTGACATCTTAAGAAGTAGAGCGGGAAGAAGATGAATCAATCGGGAGGTGAAGCAGGACTGCAGGAGGCTGTTTTTATCAACCTGGTTAGAACCAAAACCAAACTCCCTGATTTGAAGGTCCTGGTTCATTGGAGGATTAATTTACCAATAACCATCGAGCGTGGATTTTAAGCTCAAAAGAGAAGCAACCGTCTTCCTTAGCCTCGAATCCATTACTGGTAACATTATTGTTGTTATCATTGGTTCAAGTCCAAGAAGTTGCATCTTCTTCTACCTCTTCAACATCCATCCAAACGACGTATTTACCTCTTTAATGTCATTGCTCAATGTTCTAGCTCCATGATCGGCGATGAAGAAGATGAACGGTGGTGCAAGTGGGGAAGATAGGGATTGGAAAGAAAATCATAATTAAAATGGTTAAATTGAATTTTTGTCCCTAAATTACGTTGGGTTTATAAAAAAGTCAATAATTAATATTTTATTTAAAATTCAAGGATTATAATAAAAGTTAAACCCTTTTATTAAGGAATCATGTTAACAATATGTTAAAAGTCTAACAGTAATTAATCTTTAGTGATCATATCTTAATTAAATAAAAATGAAACTGACTAAATATTATATTTTTTGAAATCAGTGAGGAAAAATGGATAAAACATAAACAAAACTGATCTATCATGTAATTAACCCATTATAAAAGTAAGAACATTAAAACACGAAAATGAAAAAACAATCCTAAATAGTAAATATCTAAAATCCAAATCCCTAAAACAAAGGGAAAAAAAAGAAGCTCTGGCTCACACACCAGACGCTGACCCGACCAGTCGACCACCCAACACACCCTCTCGATTCATCTTTCCGTGGCTGTTTTCGGCGCTGTTTAGGTGGAATACACCGTTCGTTCTCGGTTCGATTCTCAGTCAGTCAGCAGCCAACTTGTCTTTGTCTAAACTGTTTCAGTCTCCCTCTTTTGCTTACTTTCATGTTTTAAGCTTCATTGCCCTTTCACTGCGATTCAGATCCATATTTCGCTTAGGTTCATTGCATATCTTTAATTAGTTGCTATTTGAACATGTTTTTTACATAGCTCGAATGATTCTGCCTAGTTTACCCAAAAAATAAAGGGGCATTAGGATTACTCATTTGCAAAACAACAAAACAGACCAAAACATACAAGCCAAAAGCCCTGGTTAAAACATAAGAAATTTTTCTCTACCTACAGGGGCATCGTTCTTGCTTATCTCGATCTTGTTGAAAAAAATGGCGACGGACCCAGATGTCGAGCAAGAAGCACATCGCTTGAAAGCAGTAGCAGAAACCAAATACAAGAATTCGAACCTGAAATCAGCTCTGAAACATGCGAAGAAAGCCCACCGTCTTTGCCCAAACCTGGAAGGCATCTCCTCAATGCTCACTGCCTTTAAGATTCTCCAGATGGCATCCGAACCCAATGCTACGCCAGACTGGTATAAAATCCTCCAGGTAGAGCCCTTTTCCCACATAAATTCCATCAAGAAGCAGTATAGGAAACTGGCATTAATTTTGCACCCTGATAAGAACCAATTTTTAGGATGTGAAGAAGCGTTTAAGCTAGTGGGTGAAGGGTTTAGGATATTTTCAGATAAGATTAGGAGGAAAGAATATGATATGAAGCTTAGGATTCGGATTCAGGAGGAAAGTGTTGTTGGACTGGAAGGGAATGGTGGTGTTGATGAGACATTTTGGACTGCGTGTTCGCGATGTAGGTTGTTGCATAAATTTGAAAGGAAGTATTTGGGTCATAATTTGGTTTGCCCAACCTGTAAGAAGAGCTTTTTAGCTGTGGAGGTTCATGGAGAAGGTGGTGATGGTCATGGTGAAAGTACGGAAGAGGAAGACGTGTTGGCCTCTACAGTGAGTGAGAGGTTGAAGAGAAAGATGGTGGAGAAAATGGATGGGCCCGGAGATGATGGGTTGGAGGGGGCAAAGGGTAGCGGTGAGACAATTGTAAGTGTAGGCTTAAGGAAGAAAGCTAGTGGTGAGATTTTAAAGGAGAAAGCGAGTAGTGATGTGGAGGAAGAAGCGGATGTTTGTGAATGGGGTGTGGGGAGATTAAGGAGCAGGGGTTCAAGGAGGACAAGAACTGTTGGGCAGATATTGGCAAGGCCTGTAGCTGCAAAGGTGGGAGATGATGAGATGGCGGAGAGACCAAAGTCAAAGAGGGTAAAAGTTGTAGAGGAGACAATGACACTTGCGGAAATGCAGTTGGAAATGAAGCGAAAGGTGAATCAAAGAAAGGCAAACACAAATAGAAAAGAAAAGGTGAAAGATGTGGGTAATAAGGAGAAAGAAAGAGAGGGACATGAGCCTAAACAAGATAGCATTTCAAAGAATGAGAAACCAAAGGCATCAGGGAAGAATACGGATTTTGAGATTGACAATCAAGGACCTTCACAGGCAAGTGTGAATGTGGGGATTATGACACGCTCGACTAAGAAAATAAGTGTAGATTTGGAAGCTAAGACTCAAGAGGGTGTGAAGAAGAATCAAAATTCAGAGATGAAAAAGCAAGGGACATCTAGGAAGAGAGTGAATTTGGACATTGAGAAGTGTCGTGATTCCAAGAGTAGGGACATGGAAATTGTGGCTGTGGAGGACTCAGATTTCTACGATTTTGATAAAGATAGATCAGAAAAGTATTTTAAGAAAGGGCAAGTGTGGGCCATATATGATGATGATGATGGAATGCCTAGGAATTATGGTTTGATTGAGGAAGTATTTTCAGTAAATCCGTTTGAAGTGACGATGAGTTGGTTGGATTTTCAGAATAATGGGGATGACAGATTGATGGGTTGGGAGAGAATGGGATTTCGTATATGCTGTGGGAGATTTAAGGTTGGCAGGAAGAGTTCCAAAAACACTTTGGATATCTTTTCGCACATGGTAGAATCTGAAAGGGCAGCAAAGGAATTTTATAGGATTTATCCAAGGAAGGGCTCGGTTTGGGCTGTTTATAATGAAGCTAAGTTAGGTGCAGGAGCAAGAAATCTTTCATCCAGAGATAAACACTGCTACGACATAGTCATGCTTTTAACAACCTATAGTGACATTCATGGGTTGAGCATGGCATATCTTGAGAAGGTCGATGGATTTAAGACGATATTTAAGAGACAGGAGATTGGATGTCAGGCTATTAGATGGCTTGAAAAAGATGATATTAGATTGTTTTCACATCAGATTCCTGCACGGAAGCTTTCTAGTGATGATGTACCTGATCATTTGAAAGATTGCTGGGAACTCGATCCTGCTTCACTTCCTCCTGATCTTCTTGCAGTTGGTCGGTAAAGATGATATGTATTTCAGAAACCTGAATTTATTACTATATATGCGCTCCATTCACATAATAGTTTAGGGGGATCGAATATGACTTGAGTACAGTATGGTGCAGAGACAGATATGAACTCTTAGTTGCTTTATAAGTTCTATATTGTAATAGCTGCTGCAATAGTCGTTACTTGGAAGAGAGAACGTATGAAATATTTTAATAATACCTGTACAGTGTTGCAACTTTCTTGACTTGTTAATATGGTTAAGCAGGCATTTGTTTTGTGCTATTTTGAGGATAGTTGCATAATCTGTAAGTTGATTGCAATAGAAATCCTACAGGCTAGAATCTCATTGCCATTTTTTCTGCTTGGTTTGAACCCCGCAAATATTGGTGTGTATAAATTTCAGGATCGTGGTATGCTTGTGAAATTATTACCTACACTGCCGTTTGGCATTAAAATCCAAGACCTGCGTAAGCTCATTGTTGGGGCTGAAAACAGCTAATTTTAATTGTGTTGTACATCTATAGACCTGCATAAGCTCATTCTTGGGCTGAACAGAGCTAGTTTTAGCTCGAGTAACAGTGATATATCCAGAAATATTTTAACTTTAGAAAAATACTTTTTTCTCCTCTTTATCTTTCATCAATTTTCAAATAACCACGACAACAAAAACCTTAAATTTAGTGAGTGTATTTAAGTCTCTTTCTTCAACACTTCTCGTATCTCACATTCTCTTCCACAGTCATCTGGAACCATTCACACAAGCAGAATGAAATGAAGCTGAATCATAAAGACAAGCAAGAATAAAATAAATTTATACGTATATATATATATATATATAGATGCTCTTAACTTAATAGTTTAAGTTTTCTATTTATCATGAAATTATTATATTACAAGTATCAGATGATGTTATATTTAACTAATATTTTAAACCGATGAATCCTTGTCATAATCAGACCACATCATGGGAAGTAACTGGTGGGATATGATAATAGAATACAATAAACCTTGTTTAATCTTTGTCATAATCAAACCACGATGATGCAAGTCTATGTCGCATCAATGGTCGACCTATATGAGCATGCTTAAAATCAACCTTATCAAAATTTAAACAGTCTATGGGATTCTTTGTTGATTTAGATGCTATTTTTCTTTGAAGTATTTATATTGGACACATGTTCAGATATTTATATATTCATGTCTATTACATGACTACATTTAACTATAAATGTAACAACCTCTTATTTTTATAGGATAACACTTAGAAATGCAACAAAAAGTTCAACAAGCATTGGTTAATGATAAATTTGAATTTAATTCGATAAAACATTTTTATTTGGAAGATGATGAAAGATAAAGAAGAGAAAGAAAGGTGAAACGGAGTGAGGGGATTTATTGAAAAAATGTTTTTTTGAAGTCAAAATATGGTGTAAAGTGCCACATCAATATTCTTTTATTCCAGCTGTTAATGGAGAGTGATCACTGTGTTATAAATGATGATGTTAGTGATCAATTAGTTAGTTTTGAAATTTTAGTGTGAAAAATGAATACCTACTCAAACATTAGTGACCATTTGTATAGTTTATCCTTAGTTTTTCTTTCTTTTCCTCAGTTCAGTCGTGCTTGGGTTTTTTTCCTTTGGCAGAAGGAAGATAGAAAAAAAAAACGCATCTATTCTCTGCGAGAAGCGAAATTACGTTTGAGGTATGTCTCTAAGTTCCATTTGAATAAAACTGCTAGTTGATATTTAAAGTTAGGGTTTCCCCTACATCTTAATCGAAAACTTTCTCGTTTGAGATTTTTTTTCCCTCTCACTTATTTGAGATATTTTTGAATCTCAATTTGGCTAATTCGTAATCTACTACATCAAAAACTTCGATTATCATTGTTTCTACTCTTCTGTTGCTTTCAATTTCTTGTAGAATGTAAGAGAAAATTACGCAAGAGAATTCCAACTTTTGAATGTTAAACTTTTGAACCTGTGTGCCTCTAAAAAAATTCATCTTCCACCAACTGGAAAAACAATGTGCAACCTTGAACCAGACAAGCTTCTTTGCCTTTTAGTACCTCTTTAGTTCAGGATTCAGAAAATATTTGGTTTTTGAATCCGGGTTTTGCGTTTTCTAGGTTTTGACATCCCATTTAACCTGAAATTCAAGCGATGGAACAGTGGAAGGAGCAATTAGAGCAGTTTAAGATTCAATTGGAGCCGTGGAAGAATCAAGCTAAGGATCAATTAGAGCAGTTGAAGAATCAGTTGGAGCCGTGGAAGAATCAAGTGGAGCAGTGGTTGCATCCAGCAATTGAATACTTGAGTCAAATACCCCCAATTCAACTCTATGCTGCTATTGTTGTCTTGCTCATATCTACTCTCTTTCTTTTCTCCAGTAAGTTCGCATTGCATGATAAATGATAATTATTGAATAGAAATGCTGTTTATTAATGTTCTATGAAGAATTAATCACTAGTGTTTTCCTCTGGTTTCATATTTTTATCTTGGTTTATACATTTAAAAATTTGAAATGCCATCTCTTAGATGTAATTGTTTAACGTTCAAATGCCTGTTAGATTTGGTTCGATGCTCAGCACACAAGTATTTAGGCTGTCATCTCGATTAAAACGTACTTACACTCGTATAAAGATACAAGATGGTTTCTGAAGTGGATTGCCGTGTTTTTAATATTATTAATTCTCTTTGAGAAAAGATGTTAGTTTAAACCCTATTTGGTAGAAATGGCTAAGGAAGGTAACTATTTAGTTTTCTACGAGATATTGTCCTGAGGCAATTTTCATATATAATCAGTTTTGCAGTTGGAGTTAGAACTTCAAATTATATTTGTTTGCCCTTTTCTCACTCTCTCTTGCAGTCCGCTTGTTCAAACGCACAAAATCAAATACCATTGTGCTCACTGGCCTTAGTGGGAGCGGGAAAACGGTTCTTTACTATGTGGTATGCAGTGCCATTATTTGCTTTGTTCCTTTTGAAAGTCTTTATGAAATACTAAATTCTTCTAGAAATGTCCTGTAATGGAAATTGAAATGCTTAGTGATGTAATGCTGTTCTAACTTTCTTGACATGATTCCCATGTCAGCTTCGTGATGGTACCTCACATCAGGGTACTGTGACATCCATGGAACCAAATGAGGGGACTTTCGTGTTGAACTCTGAAAGTAATAAGGTAATTCATCTTAACCTGCTTTTCTGAGGTCCTACAAAGCATATGGTTTAAGCCTCTTATTTCGCTTGGCTGTCATCAATTGCAACTTTGGATCAATGCCCTAATTTTATCTGATTCTACGTCCTTTTTTTCTTAAAAAAAAAACTATTTTTAACAGAAGGGAAAAATCAAGCCTGTCCATCTTGTTGATGTTCCTGGGCATTCTCGTTTACGGCCCAAACTGGACGACTTCTTGCCTCAAGCAGCTGGCATTGTGTTTGTTGTGGATGCTGTGGAGTTCTTACCAAATTGCTCTTCAGTTTCAGAGTAAGAAAAGCTATGATATTGCACTCACTACACTTGCAAGTCTCTTCCTTCCACTTTATGATTTCCAAGAAGAATTTTATATACGATATTCGCTTTTGTGCAACAGATATCTCTATGATATTTTGACCAAGGCCAGTGTGGTCAAGAAGAAAATTCCAGTTCTCATCTGTTGCAACAAATCTGATAAAGTGACCGCACATACCAAGGAGTTCATCAGAAAGCAATTAGAAAAGGAAATGTATAGTCTCAAGTTCATTTTTCTCTGCATGTTCTATGTTTCTGTAATTATCTTTTGCAATATCCCTGATTATGGTAAACCCCTAGCGTATACTTTAAATGGATAGGACATAGGATATCCTACTTGCATAGACGCTTTAAATGATGCATTTCTCTCTAGAACTTGTAGTCTTCTGCATATTGACTTAATTTGTCTGTTTTTACCTTTTTATAGTGAGAAACTGAGAGCATCAAGAAGTGCAATATCAGCAGCTGATATTTCAAATGACTTCACTTTGGGAGTACCTGGTGAATTATTTTCTTTCTCTCATTGTAGAAACGTGGTTACCATTGTCGAAGCTTCTGGTTTCAAGGGTGAAATAGCACAAGTAGAACAGTTTATCAGGGAACATGTAAAGCCCTAAAGCCTAATCCTGATATTTTAAAGCTGGTATTCCATATCGAACGCTGAAGGAGCCCTGGAAAACCATTGAATTTGTAGGAAACAGGAGAGCAAAACTTCGATCCAACTGATATGAAAAAATTTAGTTAATTTTTGGATTTCTTTTATATCGTTTCGCAACTTTCTTCTTCATCTGTGTCAAAGTTCATCAGAGAATGTAACCACAATGGTTTGATTCATGACTGCATTCTTCACCATGTGAGTTGTGTGGTTTCGATGCGCCGTTCTTGGCTCCATAAAGTAAAGGTTAGACACTTCATGGGGGCTTTTGGTTCAAGGAAAAGATCATTATTAAGGGAAATATTTTTTTCTGAAATTATATTCAAACATTTAGTTAGCGGAAAAGATTATTACCAGGTAATAATTTATTACTAATAGCAATATTTTTTTGTTAAAATTGTGAGAATGTCATGATCTCTAAAAATATTACACAATACCCGGTTACTTTGGACAAGTTAAAATGAGAAATTCTTTTCATATGTCTTGATCAATTTTTATTTTTTACGCTTTACTCAAAATTGTAAACATAATAATAATAATATACAAAGAGTTTGATTTAATAAAATATTAATAAATTTGAGTAGTTAAAGTTATTTTATATTTTTAATATACTTACGTTGGTTGTCGCTTTTTGTCGTCGACTGAATATATCATCGATCACGCCTCAAGTTGACGATCAGTCACCCTAAGTTACCGACGAACTCTAATCGCAATTTAAATCCACGAATGTGATAGAAAAAATTTGCAATAGTTCGCAACCCCATGGGATCCAACGATGTGAGAGACGATATGGGTGTCGACGGCTAGAAATGGAGAAGGAACTGGCGGCGACGACATCAATGGTTGTAGTCGGAAAGGGAGATGGTAATGTTAGGGTTTTTAAGGTTGATTTCAAGAATTTTAGGGATTTGAGTTTTTTATAAAGATTTTAAATATAATAATATTTTAAGTATTTTTGTAAAATAATTTTTTAAAAATTATCAGAACGTGCCACGTGTTACTTAATGGAGAAATTTAACAATTGTTACGGGCATAACACCTCAAGTGATAATATTTATAATGTTAGATATATGGATTGACAAAAAAAATTAGACACTAATTTAAAAAAACAATATTGATTAACAATTTTTTGGTAATTTGATTTGATCAATTATTCGTGGGATCGAGTCCTATAGTGAGCAATTCATAATTGAAGGTCTTTCACGAAAATTACTCTCAACCTGAGATTGAGTAACCTATTATCTTATCTCTCTCTTACTCTATTACATATGAGAATAAGATAAGTTAATATTTGATCAATTATTCGAAATGACCATAGACCGGATTGCCCCAGCAAGAACAAGTGAACAACGGAGGCCCATCGTACTATGAGAAGTAGCCTAGGCTGTGTTGAATGCCCACCAACGAACAAGACACATAGAGAATCTATTACTCTCCTATAAAGGCGCGTGATCCAACGCAAATATTATCATGGTTCCACTACAAAACAAGCCGAACGTGACGACACTCAACAAGGAAACTACTCCTACAGTGCACATATAGATAAATCCTGCAACTGTTACTTATGGCCCACATTTCTCACTCAATTTGTCTGTTCTGTTGTCCACCATTTCCATCTTCTCTCTCTTTACTAATGGTGGATGTGTTGCTTTTTGCAGAGAGGCTTTCAATGATTTCTTTTTTATTTTACCATCTCTGAGTCCCGGATTTCGTTTTTTCCTTTACACGTTCAAAGCACCGAAACGAAACATTTTCCAAGAAAGCAACGAGCTTCTTCATCTCCGAGATTTACTTTCATTTTCCTTGGGGTATCTTTCATTTCTTTCCTTTTATCTCCTGTCATTTTCATTTTTGTTTGCTCTTTTCTCTGTGCCGCCTGAATCAATCTTGGATTTTCAGCTCCTTTTATTTGTGGGTTGTTGGTTTGATTGACCCCCAAGTTTTTCAACGTCTGCCTTCTGTTTCTTGAAGCTTCGGTAGCTAATATTTTCATTGAAGACTTATTCAACCTTTTTTTCCTTTTAGTTTGAAAGTCTTTCTAGGCCCCTGATATTGAATAAGTTCATACGAGGCTTGAAATGCCTGTTGTTTGACTATATAACTGAATTCAACCATATTTTTCTTATACTTAGAAAAATTCCTATCTTACTATTTGACCATCATTTATGAGCCATCTCGCTGGGATTTAGGTAAAAGTCTTAATCTTGGTCAGACTTTACAAAAGGGATTCCCCTTTATTTTCTCTTGGCTGACTGCCAATTGTTTCAGTTGTTTATTTTTTAAAAAAGTTTAGGTTGTTTAATCTATATGTGGGTCAATTTTGTTAATCAAATTATGCCTGTATGTCATGGTCGGTTCTTAAACATTTGAATTTGCTTTTATTTCATTTAATTTGGGTCAAACCATTGATCTTTTCCAATATATCCTTTCAAACTTGAAGGCTTTCTTAGGCTGACACTTTGTATGTTGAATTGTGGCTGCTTGGTTGGTGACTGGTTCTAGTTCTAGTTCCATTATCAAGGATAATTTACAAAGGACACGAAAAAAAGTTCACTGCTCTGATGATTGCTTTCCAAGTTATTTGAGCTTATCTAAGCATATCCCTGGATGCTATAGAGCATAGTTTGAAGCTCCAGCCCAGAATATAGCACTTTGGTATTATATCTGAATAAATGGAGCAAAAGGAGGTTGAGAGTTGGAAAAAAATGGTCGGGAAGATGCTTCCGCATGGTGCCTCGCTCCCTGAAGATTCATTAGAGCTTGATTACTCTATAGCAATGGAGTATAAGGGTCCTCCAGTTGGTTATGAAGTACCTAGAGTTGAGCCTCTTGATGTACATTCACAGGCCATCCCTATTGCAGAAGCACTATCACAGTCCCGAAGGTCAGCTGCTAATACCGCTTCCCCAATTGTTGAGCCAATCCCCTTGCCAGTGTCTTATATTGCTGGTGTCACGGGTCCGCATACTCAGAGTCCAAGGGTTTCAGCAAGCTCCGAGTCCGTAATGTCTGTGTTGCAAAATCCAGATTTTTCTTCAGCTTCTCCCAGCTCTGTTGGCAATCCTCCTGAAGGAGTTGTTAACGAAGGGAAGAGAGTTCCAGTTGTCACATTCAGTACTGTTGAAAAATCAGAGAGGAAAGATGTTGATATGGATAAGAGAGTTTTTCCTGAATATGTTGGTGTTTCAACAGAGAAGAAGAAGAAGAAAAGAGTTTGTTATCGTTGTGGTAAGAGAAAATGGGAAACGAAGGAATCTTGCCTGGTTTGTGACGCTAAGTATTGCAGCAACTGTGTGCTTAGGGCAATGGGATCGATGCCTGAAGGACGAAAATGTGTGACATGCATTGGCCAGCCAATTGATGAATCAAAGCGGTTAATGTTAGGTAAACATTCTAGGCTCTTGTCTCGATTACTCAGTCCATTGGAGGTAAAGCAGATTATGAAAGCGGAGAAAGAATGTTCTGCTAATCAGCTCCGGCCGGAGCAGGTAATTGTGAATGGATATCCACTGAAGCCTGAAGAGATGGCTGAATTACTTGGATGCCCTTTACCTCCTACAAAGTTGAAGCCTGGAAGATACTGGTATGACAAGGAATCTGGTCTCTGGGGAAAGGTAAGTTCGTATTCACTTGGCTTTTCTAATCGAACAAGCATGCAGTGGAACATTTTAGAATGAGGATGTTGATTGGATCATCTCTTCTTATTGAATTGGCAGGAAGGAGAAAAACCAGATCAGATCATTAGTTCCAACCTAAACTTCACAGGCAAGCTTAATGCTGATGCAAGCAATGGCAATACTGAAGTCTATATCAATGGAAGGGAAATTACAAAACTTGAACTAAGGGTGCTAAAGGTAACATATACGAAATTTAATACAGTATACATATTAATTGCTCTTGATCATTATTTTTCTTTTCTGTTTGATTCAATAAATTTAGGATTCTCATTCTCAAGCTCTTGTGATGCTATGTTTTCTCACCCTTTTTTGCTTTCCATAGAGGAAACCATAACCAGTCAGAAGTAACCCTTTTATGCTATGTTTTAACGTTTATTGTCAAATGGTTGAAAGTCTTTCGAACAAATACTATCTTGTAATCTCCCCAGACTAATAAAAAAATATTAAATTAACTAATCATGATGCATCCTTTTGATGTGTTCAGTTGGCAAATGTGCAGTGTCCTCGTGACACTCATTTTTGGGTCTATGATGATGGTCGTTACGAGGAAGAAGGTCAAAATAACATTAGAGGAAACATCTGGGAAAAGGTATGTAAATTTCTAGCAGCCTCAATTGTATAATGGTTATTATAAATATATGTGATGTGGAATTGGTTTTTACGAAACAGGCATCAACTCGTTTTGTCTGTACCTTGTTTTCTTTGCCTGTGCCCCACGGTCAGCCTCATCGAGAAAGAGAGGAGACTAGCAATTATACTACTGTTCCAAATTACCTAGAGCAAAAACGAACCCAAAAGCTTCTTCTCCTCGGGCTTCAAGGCTCTGGAACAAGCACCATCTTCAAGCAGGTTTGGTATTTTCTTGTTGCTGATAGACCTTCGTTTTAAGAACTATGCTTTATGTTTCCATATCAATTGCTTTAAGATGAACTGAAAATGAAAGCCACTTTAGAAATTTATACCTGCAAGGAAGTTGGCAAGATATCTTGCTCGAGCTTGAAGAAATTATCTGAATTTCGTTTTTCCTTGATGCTTTCTTGGTTTAGGAACAATTGGTACATGGTATAAATGATTAAGATGTGCTAATTCCGCAGCATGCTTAATTAATACATTCAGTTGCTAGCATTTTCTAGAGCTATGTTATCCACACAATCCAGCAAAGACGGCTAGTTTTTACACAGAACTATGATTTCTCTACCCAATTCAGCAAAGACATCTAGTATGTACAATCTAGAATTGCAGTTGATGTCATTTTATCTAATGTTCACTGTGCATTACTGAACAGGCAAAATTTTTGTACGGAAACGGGTTTTCTGCAGAAGAACTGCAGAATCTGAAGTTGATGATCCAGAGCAATATGTACAGGTATCTTAGCATATTACTGGATGCGCGGGAGCGGTTTGAGGAGGAAGCATTGTCTGGAATACAACTAGCTGCTGCTGATCAAAACTCTGAAGCTGGTAATGTGATAATGTGTATAATGCTTGTTTTACGGAAGCTATGTATGTGATGACACTTCTAAGATCTCTCAGAGCTGACCAAAAAAACAAATTAACATCATTGCAACTCGTTCAACATGTAAACAATACTTTAATCTTTTTTCAGGAGGGGAGGTTGATTCTGGTGAAATGAACCAGTGCATTTATTCAATCAACCCGAGACTAAAGCATTTTGCTGACTGGCTTCTGGACATTATAGCCACTGGAGATTTGGATGCATTTTTCCCTGCGGCAACACGTGAGTATGCTCCATTAGTCGAGGAGTTGTGGAAAGATCCTGCTATACAGCAAACATATAAAAGAAAAGATGAGCTTCACTTTCTTCCGGATGTTACGGAGTACTTCTTAAGCAGGGTATATCAACTTATTTTTAAATTTTATGTATGAAATTTTGGCTAAATCATTGCCAAAATTTTACACAGCATCGATATTTCAAGTTTTCAACTTGAAGGAGATTCCAAGAAAAGAAATAAGTGAACTCAAATGCACATCAATATGTTGACCACGAGATATGCTTTTGTTTCCTTCAGGCTGTTGAGGTGTCGAGCAATGAATATGAACCTACTGATCGTGACATTCTTTATGGTGAAGGGGTCACCCAAGGGAATGGCTTGGCTTTCATAGAGTTTTCGCTTGATGATCGTAGTCCAATGTCCGAAACCTACACAGACAATTTGGAAGCTCCCTCCCAGCCCTTAACCAAGTAATTATTTCCTAACATTCTGTTGTTGCCTTAAATGAAAGATTTCCTCAATGACGGTCCATAGATACAAGCAATTGCATCACATACAGTGTCTGCAACAGTGTCTGCAATCTTTTCTTTATTGTCGTTTTCTCTCCCTTCCCACCCCCCCTTCCCCAGTATTCGGCATACAGATTTGATCTTGAACCTGTGAAGCTTTAGCCTTTTTATTTTAATAGGTATCAACTGATAAGGGTAAATGCAAAGGGGATTAATGAAGGATGCAAGTGGGTGGAAATGTTTGAAGATGTGCGGGTGGTAGTCTTCTGCGTTGCCCTTAGTGATTATGATTTAATGTCGATAGCACCAGATAGCAGCGGCAGTGGATCACTGCTTCAAAATAGGATGATGCAGACCAAGGAGCTATTTGAAACGATGATAAGGCACCCTTGCTTTAAGGACACCCCTTTTGTGTTGATACTAAACAAGTATGATCTGTTTGAGGACAAGGTGAATCGGGTGCCTTTAAGCACTTGCGAGTGGTTCAGTGATTTCAATTCAGTGAGACAAGTCCATAGTCACCAGTCTCTGGCTCAACAGGCTTATTTTTACGTTGCGTTGAAGTTCAAGGATCTTTATGCTTCCCTCACTGAACAGAAGCTTTTCGTGTCGCAAGCCAGGGCAAGGGACCACCGGATAACAATCGATGAAGCATTTAAATATGTAAGAGAGGTTCTCAAATGGGAAGAGGAGAAAGATGAAAACTACGGTGGGATAGAAGACTCGTTCTACAGCACAGATTCTCAAATGCGTCAAGAGTGACTGCATTCGGAATTTGCTTGTATTCTTTAAAATATAAACAAGGTTGTAGTCTGTAGGAGTCTTGTTGATGAATCGAATAATGATGTTCCGGCTTCGATTCTTCGCCACTCTATAAGAGCTGATTGTAATTTCTGATTCCAAACGGCTTATTCGTTATACGCTGGCTAAAGTAATTAAAGATGATAACCCAATAGTAGAAAGTTAAAGAAAGAGAAGGATGATGTTTCCAATTTTAACTGTATCCTCAGGCATGCAACTACTGCCTTTGTAGATCCAACAAAAATGCCAAAAAACATGAAAAGTTTACTACACCAGCTGTGCACACATTTCTCATCGCTTTCTTTCTTTTCTAATAACCAAATTGTTACAATGGGCAGGACAACAAAATCATGATGCAACAAGATCAGGTGTTTCAGCCTCGATTGATAATGAAGCAGTATGTACTTTTTCCATCCAACTATCCAACCTCTCCCGCAAGGATTTGATCTGCAGAATCCCCAAAACTCTTGGCTGCACCCAAGACACATGAACTGTTCCCTCAACTTGATCTATTATGCCCTCAATCAGATGAACCTGCCAGTCATTAAAAGTTATACCAGCTATCTTTAGAATTTCAAACCTTCTAAAAAGTAGCTAGTGGCTACTATATCCAGGACTCAGATTGATGGCACAATGAAGCATCCCCCATACGAAAATGGAGACCTGGGCTTCTACCGGTGTTCACTATACATGATAATTTCTATTTTCCTTGGTTTATATCCAAAATTTATTGGTGCCCCTTAATAACTTGTATTCCCTAAGGTGTTACTAACAAAGTTAAGATAAAAGAAGGAAAACATGAAAAAACAAAGACTAAAAAAGTTATGAATGTTTTTAACTTACAGACAGGCTCTTCATGAGAAGATGTTCGACATCCTCAATTGTCAGTTTTGTTCTCTCAGCAATAGCATTTAATGGAATAGTTCGATCATTGGACGAGCGGCTGCATTGAAACATATTGTAGTTTAGTTTTTAACCACACATGCAATCATTGGCAACTTTGACCTGATCCCTTAGGGAACACTACAACCATTCACACCTGAATATAATCTCCAACAAGCATAGAATATTAATTTTTTCCAACAGCTTCTTCTCATTCTCAACCAAGGCTGGTTGAGCCCTCAATGCAGCATTGTGCACACGACACAATTCTTCATATCGAACCAAATTCCCTGTGTTAAAAGCTTGGAGGATATAATAAAGCCACTCCACCTTGGTCCCCAGAAGACTCTTTATCTGTAAAAGATGGCAAATATCATAATCTCAGACATAAAAAAAACTAATATTAAAGCAAAGAAATTCAGAAGGAAAAGACCAACAATACGAGCAGCCTTTTAAATCAGCCCTACACAATGAAAAATAAGCATGTATGCATGTAATGGCAATAGCATAAAAGAAAATACGAAAACAAAAATAAGCTCTTATCAGCCAGCACCTTTCAGTCACTACTTAGCTCCCTTGAACCTATACATATATCTAACCTGAGCTGCTGAGCATCATACACTAGACCTATCAACTATATCTTTGTGCAATTAGAAGCAAGTTTTCACGTCGAGCACTACATCAATCATCACCATAACATTTTGAGGAGCTCTCTGCTGGAAAAAAGTGCTTTAAATTCTTCGTCTAACCAAAGCTTGATTAACAGCCCAAACTAGAATAGAATTAAACCCCTAACCTAGATCAGAACTAAATCAGATTTTTAATGAAAATAGACAGAAATATGCCTCAATGAACCATTGCTGGCATTATATGGGGCAAATAACAGTATCATGCACTAAAAGTTAACTTATAAATGCTTAAGTCATTAATAGAAGAGAACATAACAAGCTCGTCAGAGTATCATCCATCAAAAGTTAACTTATACAAGCACAACTCATAAAAAAAATAACAAATAACAGTCATGAATATCATTTGAACTTTTTTTTGAAGAATGCTAGGCCACGTTAAAAACTCCCTTCTTGATTAAAGGATCTTGTAGGAAAGCTCCTTAATCAGCAGAAGGGGGAAAAGAGTGCCTATATATTATTCATCATAATAAATTACAACGAAAACAACAATAGAAATCCCCTTACAAAACCCAGGAAACCAAGAAACAACCCTAAAAAGCCATAAACAACAACACTAACTCAGTCTATGCCTTCTTTAGCTAAGGCATCAGCCTCTAAATTGGCTGTCCTATTAACCCATCTAACACCTTCAAAGGCATCAAGCCTATGAACAATATCTTTAATCAAGAAGGCATACACAACAGGACATAATTCAACCCCCTTAATCCAATCCACAGCCACCTTACTGTCACTCTCAATAATCAAACGGTCCTTGATCCTCTCTCGATAATTTGCATAGAAAGATAGCCCCTTAAGAATAGCCTTTAACTCCATTAAAGTAGGAGGTCCCGAACCAGCAGGTTCCTTGAAATAGCCTAAAGTAGAACCTGAGGAATCTTTTAAAACTCCTCCTAACCCGCTTTTCTTCCAATCCCTTGTAGTGGCAGCATCAACATTTAACTTAACAAAGCCCATAGGAGGAGGAGACCAAGGTAAAATAGGTGCAATCTGATTAGATTGGAGAGAAACGTAGTCCCCTAGAGAAGGATCGGAAATGAGTGAGTCCTTAGGAATAGACACTTCTTTATGCTTTGCTAAGAACCAAGAAGCAAGCCTAAACCTTGCTAAAAAGAAGTATTCTGCCTTATCAAACTTTCCCCCTTCAAACACAACAAATTCCTTATTTTCCAAGTGGTCCAAAGAACGACCCCTGGAATAAAAGGCCAAATCGTAGAGTTGGACTTCAAACCATCCCAAGCTGGAAAAAAGCTTTTAGCATCCGCTGATAAAACCTAACAAGTCCTCCAAAATTTTAAAAACTTATTCCAAAGATACCACCACCGGACAAGAGAAAAACAAATGAGAGGGAGACTCATCCGACATCTTGCATAGGGGACACAACACATCTTCAATTCCTTGAACTCCTCTTTTAACAAGTTCTGTCCTAACAACCCCTTCCCATGAACAATCTGCCAAAGAAAACACTCTACTCTTGGAGGCAGTAGACCTCTCCAAATAATCTTCTTCCAGAAAAAGACCTCCTCTGATCCCAAAGTCTCCGATGAACATAGATTATCAGCTGACCTAACAGTAAAAACCCCATCCCCAGTACCTTTCCAAATCAAACGATCAGAAAAATCCGAATATCATTTGAACTAAATAGTGGCAAATAGCTGTGGTGACATGAAACTATTTGCCAGTAAAAACATCATATGCAATACATAGAGAAATTAAGAAACATGATAAAGATGTACTCACAATTGGATGCGCAAGGAGTTCTCCAAAGTTGTAGATGTTATCTCCCAAAAGAGCAGAAAAGGACAGATCAAATGCCAAATCCTATATCAGAGAGAGTCATATAAAATATAATGAAATGATGTCTATGGATAACTCTATCCAGGGCCAAATAAAAGGTGCAATAGCTCTTTAGCTTATTATTTTCCATCAATTTTATAACTGGGGTGGAAGGGGAAGGAAAACAAAATATTGAAGTACTAAAGCTATATCACAATCGGCATTATCTTCCAAACAGAGGTATGCCATTTTTATGCATGTTATGTTGTCAAATGTATGCCTGACAACTTGGTTCGTCCATGATATTATGAAGGGTTTGTTAAAACAATGCTAGACTTCGAATAACCATATTAAACTCTATGTAGTCTCAAATGTAAATAATATTTTTCTTTGAAAAACAAGTGTAAGATTAACGAGCTCCAAGAATATCATAAGGTAGTAGTACAATTGGACTGGCAGAAAACACATAAACCTAAAACATACCAGCTTAAAAGATTCTGAGAGAGACTCCACAGATGTGTAAGCAAGATAAAGGAGAGCACTTTTGTAGAACTCGGCGAATTCTTGGCGAAATTTATGGTATTGAGATGAAACCCAATAATAGGTAGCATATACAGATGGATCTATGTCAGTCATACTGTCAAGGGTACTTTTTCCATCATCAAGAAGTTTCTTGCATTCCTTTTGATCACCTTGCTCAAGCTTGAATTTTGAAATTTGCATCTTAATATAAAGAATTGGCTCTTCAATGCGCTGCTCTTTAGTAGCCTGAAGCTTTTCAATCACCTCTTCAAGAAAACTGATAGCAGCCTCCTTCTCTGTGTACTGCTGAGAAACTATAACAGCAAAATGTGCAAGCTTGAGGGGATTAATCTTGCTCTCAAAGTCAGTGATAAAGTTATGATACAACTTTATCAGTGCATCTCCAGCCTGAATTTACGAGAAACAAGTGATATTGGAAGTTAGATAACATACCCAATATCTAGCACATGGGGTACAATTTCCATTTGCTACTATGTAGGTATAAACCACTAAGACAAATAGAAGCCAACTTTTCAAAATGAAGATCATCAACTAAACCACACTGAGTGGCACAAGAGAGCAGTAGGAAATCACAATTGCAATTTCCAGATGTACTGTACACCCAAAAAAAAACGCAAAAGAACATAACCTCGCCGCCAAACAATTTCAATTCTACAATTAAGAGAAGAATGTTTTTTCCTGAAATAAACATGAAAAAGTTTTAGATGCTAATTTCCATAATTCATATACTTTGTCCTGCGCGCACTTCAAGTAAACCTGAAGATTTCCACTAATCTTTTTTACTGCAAGTTAACAATTCTATGACCAAAAACTTTACAACGAAATACAAACGGCAAAACCCAACTGGATATACTTTCTCCAAAAATCTCCTAGTTATTGAACATCAAAGATTTTAACATTTCTTATTTATTTCGTTCCAAATGTAAAACTAAAAATAGTAAAAAAATGAAATAAAATGGTAGAGTAGTATTAAACCCTAATTAATCCCCTAAATGAAATACCGATTCTACTATAAAACCCCAGGGAACAAACAAAAGGTAAAGAAATAAAAAAGAAATAAACCACATTCAAAAACCCTATCTCCACAAATCTTAAAACCGCGATATAGAAGAGATCTACAAACTCCAAAACCAAACAACACGGAATAGAATGAAAGACCTGAAAGGCGGAGAGAGAAACGAACTGCTCGAGCTTGAGAGTGAGCTGATGCCAGAGCTTCTTCTGAAACAGATCTGCAAGAGAATTGTACCAGTCTGATAGCTCTGGATGCTCATTTCGAATAGACTCTAGGTATTGCAAGGACGCCATGGATCCCAAATACACTCCACGGAGAAAGGGAAGCTGAAGCCTTGAGGATTTATAAAGTTCAACTTGGGATTTCTGCGTCTCTGTGCGAGAGTTGTGCAGAGGAAAACAAGAAACTCAACTGACAAAAGGAGGAGGAAAACGGATAATTATTATTTCGGGTCCCCTTGTTGAGCAAGTTAAGCTGGGCGGATCGTACAAAACTTCGGCTCATAATGGGCTTTTCCGGGTTATCACATTTGTATCTCATGCACAAATTATCTACCCCTTCATTATTTTTTCCGCCTACAATGGTTTATTTTCAGCATTTGTGTTTAATATATATTTGTATAATTAATTTTTTATTTATATTTAATATTCATATAATAAAACCCCAAACTTTCTGTTTTTTTTTCTCCAAAGGGGTATTTATGTCCATAAATTTCACACCAAATAATCAATTTAACTCGTATACGAAAAGCACACTCAATTTACTCTTTTAAATCATGAATTGAATTATTTTGGCGATTTGATTAATTTTAATGGTTATTATATTAGTGTAATTGTTAACGATGCTAATACGACAATCCGCAATGTTAATGTGATAGTTTACATTGAGTCATGACTTAATAGGCTCTGAATGACCATAAGCATATAATAGGCAAAATAGTTGAGCTATTAAAAAACGATGAGCTATATGATTACCATTCAACTAACTATCAATACGCACAGTGTGAAGCCCTAAGATAAAACCACATATTAAAAATAAAATAATAATGAAATAGCAAATTTGTGGTATAACCTCTAATTCTTTTATTATTGAGGTCAATTTGTACATTAAAAAAAACCCTTTGATTCTCAAGTCCGGATAACGTGATAGCAAAATTTGTGGTACTGGTACAGCCTTTGGCTAGCAATTATTAAACAGTGGGGACAACTTTTAAATGATACAGTTGTGTTAGGATACCCATATATGTTGTAAACTCTTAGCAAAATCCTTGGCTCTATTCAAAACTACAGATTTATGATCCGCATTTTGAACAATATTGAGTTCCACTAATTCTGGGAACTTCATCTTCATGTTCTTGCTGCACTCCAAAGGTACTTCCATGTCCTCATCACCATGGATGATGCATACCTTTACAGATTTTGATTTGTTCAAAATTTCCAGATGTTCATCCGTCAAAGTTGCTCCCCCGCATATCGTATTATGCATGTTATGCCATGCTGAATGATGTGTGTGCCTTGTCAAGTCCATTTCCATGAAATTCAGTTCCCTATGCATTTGGTAAAATAACAGATAAACATGTTAGTCGAAATTTTCATTAAAAAAGTTTATCTTTGTTTCAAAATAGTGAAAGGAATTATACCTCCGAAGAGTGAATAGCTTGAGAATCATCTCCCATGTCCGATGATTCCGACAAAACAGGAAACAGAAACATCTCCCGACATGTTCGTACCACGACATAACGGATTTGCCGAATGCTAACGGTGGCCACAGTGTCTTTCCAGCAAGTTTGTTGAGCACCATTAGTGAAGTTCTTGTGACATCTTCTGCAGAAGGGAAGTATGGCTAATTGCAGAAGCACATAAAAACAAACAGAGTAAGAGAAACAACATTCCCTTTTATCATGAAATCACGTATTCGAAAATGAAGGTATAGCCACTCACAGGTGCAACAAGAGTCACTGATTTGACGAAGTTGGGGTATTTAGCAGCTAAGGTCAAAGCAACTATGCAACCCATGGAATGAGCCACCAAATGGAAAGAATTGAATTGGAATGGGGAGATCACGGATTTGTCAATCATTTCAACATGATCAAGCAACGTGTACTTACATTCATTTGGCTTCGGACTTCTTCCAAATCCCAGAAGATCAACGGCGAATAGCCTGTAATGACCCTTTAACGATTCAGATAGGTGGCTGAAAACTGTTTCTGTCCAAAATGAAGAAGATGAAAGGAACCCGTGCAAAAATATCACACTTTCAGCTGCCTCATCTCCTGTCAAATAAAAATATTGGTACCAAAATTACTTAGATTTCTGATTTTGAGTTTTGTTTGACTCGAGAATAAGTGTATAAATGAACAAAGAGTTTAATAAATTGTTCATATAACATTCGTTAATGTTTGTTTATAAGTTAAATAAATGATGAACAAAATTTGTATATTTATTTAATAAACAAAAAAACAAGAAGAAAAGTGTAATTAGTTCGTTTATATTTACAAACAAGCTCGTTTATCTGATTTTATTTTTTTATATATACTTTAAATATTGGCGATGATAAAGACTAAATTAAATACAAAATGAATTTTAGAGTCCAAAATATAAAGCCTAAGTAGTTTAAGGACTACTATATAATTTTACCATTTTTCTTTGACTCATAAATAAAAGAATAAAAAATGACACGAAACAAACATTTTTACAAATCCTAAACAGATATGTACAAGAATACTAAATAAAATGAACATGTTAAACGAACCAAAGACTAACATCATAATTACGAAAAATATATTAAAATTTTAAATAAATACAAATCAACGTGAATATCTTTATTAAAAATAAATATATGAACGAGAATATAACTTTAATCATTCAAGTTAAATTGGTTTATACCCTAACTCGAGTATAAAAGAAATTTACCTTGTGGAAAATGTTTGGCAACAACGTGAAGCTTGTGAGTATGGCCTTCCTTTGTCCACGAAACACAAGAGTTGCATCCACAATCAGACCATCGATTCACCGCCAAACTTCCATTGATGCTACCATCATCCTTCTTCTTTCCGTATATTTTCCATTTCCTTGCAAAACCAAGAAACCCCGTTTTTCTCCTCCCATACAAACTCTCCGATAACGTTTTCTCTCCGTCGTTCCCGCAGTAACATGGATTGCGGGCTTCACCTTCGAAGAACTCATCGACTAACTTGAAAACCAGACAAAGAACGGCGTCAAGAAAGTCCAGGAAAAGAAAGACGACACAGGTGACGGAATCGAGGAGGGTTTTACCACACTTGCGTTGCGTGTCCATTTTGCTGCCAAATTTTCAGCAGACATTGATAAGGAAATGCAAGGAAAGTGGTATAAACAGAAGTGAGACAGATGAAAGAAACAAATTGTGGACAGCCTGAGGATTGGACAGGAAAATTACATATGGAGATAAGATGAATGTCGACGTAGCTGCTAGATGTGCCTGGAAATACTCTTTCCAAGAGAAAAGTATTTTAGACTTTGAGGGTCCCAACAAAACTATCATTATGACTATTGACTATTCATTTCAAATTAAATATTGTTGAAAAAGTTTTATCTATTTTTTTTTTAAATTATAATAATAATATTTTATATTTTATTAAGGGTAGACTATACCTTATAGTCGCTGAAAATTTAGGTCTTTCACTTGGATTACTAAAATTTTGGTGACCAAAGTGAAAGAGACTTGAAAGTTTAGTGACCACCAATATAGTTTACCTTTTATTGATTTAAATCTGTTAACCTATTTTTGCTCGAGTTATGCTTAAATTTAGTTTCAAGACGAAAATGAAAGCAAGTCTAGTTTAGACATGTTAGGTTAAAATTGGTAAATTCGAGTTTCAATTTTTGATTTTGATGTTGATTTTTAATTCTCAGCTAATAATATATCATTAGTCACGTATAGTGTGAGCCAAATAGCAGAACATCGAAAAGAAAGGAAGCTTCTACTTCAACATCTCTTCCTCATGCATCATTTTATGACAAATTATGCATTTAGCTCATGTCTCGTAGCTTTTCATCTACTAATCCCACCTAACAGATCATATGCTGCATCAGTAGCATTATTTACGAGGCACATTCATTGCTAATCTAAAACAGCCAAACTTGAAACTCAAACCTATTTTATATACAAGATTTTGATCTTTCTCTATTGACCAAAAATTTTAAATATGAAATGCAAATGTCTTTTCCACCGGTCTTTTACATGATTATGATTTTATCATCTGGACCGGAAATTTGCACTCCTATTACCCGAAAAAGGAAAAGCCTGTCGTCGTCTAGCTTGAGGAAATCGTTTCTTCCCAACGTCTATTTGCGGCAGCCAAACTTCTTCTTACGAGCTGAGTTTACTCGGCTTCCTGATTCTTCGTCTGCATCTTCTCCAAATTTTAACTGTTTCCTGGCTGCTTCATAATCAAAGCTGCGATTTGGTTTCTTCAGAATCCGAACAGTTGCTCCAGTAGCCTACACAGGGAACAGATATTTTAGCCAGCAGCTATGAAACAGAATATAGTTTGCAATGCAACTATGAAAGATTAACTTACAACCTTAGGCGAAGGTGGACTCCGCCCTGAAACGGCAAAACTTCCTCTCACAGACATTGAGATATCATTCAAATCTGGCTCCATATGACACCTTTTTTGTTTTTTGTCCGTGTCAAATCCAGATATACTGCTTCCTGTCTTTAACCATGCTTTACGTGGAGGAGACACAGGCTGTGCACTTTTCCCATCAGGTCCCCTGATGCCACCGTCTATCTTTTCTGTTCTATCATTTGTAATCTTCAAGTTTGCTCCGCCATTAGCTGCTGCATTTTCTTCCGAGGCCTGCACAACAGAAATCTTACAGTCATCAAACAGTAAAAAAATAATTACACATTTTTTCAACCCATTGTCAGTATTGAAACAAACAGCAATGAGGAAGCTGCACAAAGAAAAGTGCAAATGAACACTTTTTCAACCCATGCTTGAAACTAACATAGATTTCTAATGCCAATTCAATAAGAGTTTACCAAATTTCATAGAACTGAACCAATTAACCAGCATATCATTTACTTTTGTACTTCCAATTGATAAACTGTATGATGAACATTATGACTTGACTTGAATGTTGTTACCATATGACAAGCATACCACAATTCATGATGCTATTTTTATTTTTAGATGATCACAAGCCATTTGGGAAATGAAAAGAAAAATGAGATATCAAAATAAATTTAACCAACAAAATACATTAACAACACATCAATATTAGGATTATCGAATCAGCATAATAACTCTTACGTGTAGCACACGCCCCATTTTAAGTTGTTCAGCAGCAGCTTCAAATAAGACAGCATTCTGCATAGAATGCTTGATGATGCTAACAACTGCACCGAGATTTCGCTCCACATATAGGTGTTTAGATTTCAACAGTCGACGTAACTTGCCAGCCGTTACAGGCATCTGCTTAGCTTTTTGCAGTAAGAAAAGTGGAACTAGTAAAAACAGACAAGTAGTAGAAAAAAAGGATATGCGATGGAAACTGATAAAACTTGAGGAGTTCATACCAATTTCAATAAGTATTTTGTTCGGCAATACATAGCCAGTACTTTCATCCTCTGAACGTGCAATACGGTCTCGCCATTCACAAAGTGCCTGCAAGCCATTTAAGTGCAACTTATAAGCCAAAGAGATGGACATCATCCACCTAAATTTCAAAGTCAGGCTTCACATCAAATACATATATCAAAACTAAAACTGAAATTGGCTATATCTTGTGGTTTACCAGCCGATCTATTTGTTATTTTAAGAGAAAACAAAAAAGGCCACATAATATGAAAACAACACAACTTACAGAGACAATTGCTAACTGCCCGGCATGGAAACCAGCCGCATGCAACCTATATCAAGTAGAAGAGAATAAATGGCATAATTTTGGTCTGGGTTAACATGACACATTTAAACATTCATGGAATCATGCACTGTGTAGTCTCAGCAATTAACAAACCCATATATGTGGAGATATGAATTCTCTGTCATCAGCTCTTTCTCATACAGTTGCATGCATACATCAGAACTACGCTTGTAGACCTGCTAGTAGGAAAACCTTTTCCAGTAAGATAACGGTCAAAATAAATACCGGAAAGCAATAAAGTTCTCAATTCATACATCCATGTAAATTTATTTGAAAAATAGGAGAACCAATGACCAAGAAGCTAATTTCAAGGGGGGAAATCAACAAAATTACACATACATTAAATATTTTGAATACATAGCCTCAGCTGTAGATTATGCATTGAAGCTTGAACAAAATAGAATGTCAAAAGCCAGAGGAATATGTAAAGGAGCACAACACTTCTACGAATTTAACTATGATTAAAGACTATTGAAATCCCTCATCTCCAAGAAGGGTCAGCACTATGATATGACAAGCTATGGTGAATGTAGAAAATGATGTGAATTATGATTCATAGCTTCGTACCTCTACCAAAGGAGCATCACACTGTTCAGGTTCCATAGGTATTGATAACAATTTGATTCTCATTAAATCATAAATGTACAGCAAATAGTGTGTGTCTTCTCTAGCATATCTGTCATCACAAAACATATAATAAAAGCAAAGCAATTAGGAGACGTAAAACAATGAAAGTTTCCTCCTCAATAACTACATTAACAGAACCTTTAAACTTTTTTCTTCGAGCCTAGAGAGAATTGTATGTTAGTGTCAGAAGTACAATCATAAATAAAATGCAAAGTGTTTTTACTTCATATTGATGAAAAAAATTGAAACTAGCTACTATTTACAGCTTATTCAATTGTCTAGTTTTTTCTCATAAAAACAAGAAAAATGGCATTAATGCTGATATTGCAGATTAGATGGTTATTTTTTCCCTATTAAAATGAACAATGACTGAAACAGAGAAGAAAAAAGATGCAGGTTATAAAAATAATGTGACCTGAGCATTACAGCAGGAAGAGGACGCAATCTCCAATCTGCATTTTGATATCTGCAAGGAATTACTATGGTAATCAACTTTAAGGAAGATACACCAGACAATGGTTAAAGTATAATGAAGAAGAAGATAAAACAAATTAAACAAAAACCTATCTTTGTTGGCAGCAATTCCACAAAAGTGTTGCAGAAGATGCTCCAAACTATTCTTTCCAATTTCAAGACCCTTGACCTGAGTACCACGCAAAAGCATAAGTCAACAAATTGGTAGGTATCCAACACAATTTTCACTTCAATTCAGGCAAGTATTTCATGTATATCTAATTGCACTCAAAACTATGCCTAAGCATTTCCATCAAGACGATGGCATTTAAAGTACAGTAATTAGGCTCTTTAATATGCAGTAAGCAGTAACATTCCCAAGCCTATAATATATTTAACATCTTCAATGAGTTCCAATGAGATTAGCATCTTCTTAATCATTCAAAATTTGTGTTAATAAACCACAAGTCCAGTTGTCATGTAGTCTGAGATACCAATTTCCTTCCCCCTAATTTATTGATAAGTGCTAACTAACCCCAATAATAGTTCATAGAAAAACCAAAAGTTTAACAGAAAATTATCAAATTAAATCCTCAAGTTCAGATAAGTGACAAGTTGACAGTACAAACCTGTCCAGTGTCAAAGAGGTTGCATATATATATGCCAAAGTCCCGCTGAAGCCAACACAATATCGCGGTCTGCTCCATGCATAACCTATGTGAATTAAGGATGTCAAAAGAATGCAGGAGGACAAATAAGAAAAAAAAAGTTGCAGCCATCAAAGAGGCCAACCTTCTTCTTGGTGGGATCCTTGAATACTTCCCTAAGATATGGACCAACATGAATTCTTAACTTCAATGTATCGACAATAAAATCCTCGGTTCTCGTGGAGATTTGCATCAAGCAAGTCAATCCTTGGAAAGATCGATATTGGTTATGCTCCAAATCAACCTGAGAATAATTACAAAGAAATTAAACTACATACAAAGAATTAACATGTTACCATAATATTCTCTTTTTTTTAAAAAAAAAATCTTATGTTTGATGCATAAAAAGTCGCATCAAATTGGTAGCCCGGTTATCAGAGATACATACACTCTCTTCATACCAGGAAAACACTTCATTCTGTCTTAACGCTTACCATGTTGTTAAATTGGAATGAGCATTATCAAATAAATTAATATTAGAAGTTCTCAGATTTTACCGCAAATTCATTCACACTGCTTAATTTGGCTGCTAACTTCTTCAAATCTTTTACTTCCTCCACCAGCTTGAATGGGGTAGACTCAATCGAAGGTAGCTGTACAGGCTCAATATCTGCCATATCTTTATCAACAAAATCCATAACAGACAGCTTCTCCTGAA